AGCAGATGTATCCTACCCAGGGGGGGAATTACTAACGGACTGAATTAAATAATTATAGAAAGTAAAGATTGTAAGCCATTCTTCTAAAATTGTTTTTTAAATAATTTAAAGTAGAAATTTATTCAATAAAATTTTTCATTTAATTAATCATATACATAAAAATGTTAAATAAATCACAAATTTTGATTCTGGGATGATTTCAGTGTCCATCAAATGAAAACATTAGTGTTTATATTTCCCTGAATATTGTAGCATAATAACAATGCGCTTGACCCCTAGGAGTAAAGGTGAAATAGTTTTAAACAAAACATTACCAATTTAACCCTTGTAACTTTAAGACAGTGTAGCCCTCACTGCCATACCTCCAAATTGAAAGTTCATACAATGAAATTGTGAGGTCCTTAATTTGAGATTACTGATTATTGCATGCTAAAATTGGTCTGATTGAGATTATGCAGTGTAAATTGAAAGTTCATACAGTGAAATTGTGAGGTCCTTAATTTGAGATTACTGATTATTGCATGCTAAAATTGGTCTGATTGAGATTATGCAGTGTAAATTGAAAGTTCATACAGTGAAATTGTGAGGTCCTTAATTTGAGATTATGCAGTGCAGAAAATGCCTCATTTAGGTCAAAGGCATCATCTTTCCTCTGCAAAACATAACAGGGTTGTTAGGATGTTGCAGGGAGGCATGATTCAATGCAAGATCGCTGTTGCTCTTGGCACATCTCAACCTCAGCAGTCATGATATAGTTCCTTATATGAGAAGCTAGGAACTACTGATCTAAAAATGCAATGAAAGATCTTTTTCCATTCTTTTCAACTGTATATGTTTTCCAATTCAGAAGAAACTCACACAGAGATCAAAGTAGAAGTAGTATAAAAGTGCTGTAACTGGGCAACATCACGATTAAGTTTAAAAGTCGATTTTTACTCAGGAAGCAAACATCATAATGTTCTTAATCCTGACTGGGAAAAAAATATGTAAAATACAATTAATCACACTTTCAAAGTACGAAAAACATCAATGCTTTTTCCTTTGAAGTAGCTATTAAAAAAATAAAGTAACAGCTTGCTTGCTGTTTTGACTGCCAGTGAAAATGATTATAAAGTATCTGATTCACGTGACATAACTACTATGTAATGCTTCATGCGCTGACAAATTACACTCTGCTTAACATCTAACCTCTTCTAATTCTTTCTGCAGTTTCTCAGCCTCCTCATCTGTAAGTTCTTTAATTGCTGGTTCTTCGTCAACCTTTAGCTCTTCCTTGGCTTTTTGCGCTTTTTTCTCTTGTTTTCGTTTCTCAGCTGCTTTTCTTTCTTCTTCTTTTTTGGTTTGAGCTGCTTTAGCTATTTTCTCGTACTTTTCAAACCGATCAAGGATCAACTGGAAACAATATCAACAGAATTAAAACTTGGCTTACATTCCAAATGTTGTTGAATAAACATGATACTACAATATTTTTTCAAAATATTTAAAATGTATTTTATAATTCTGATTTATTAAATTTATCTTGATATCTTTTAAGTTTCAGTTTTAATAATTGCACAATAACTCAAGTACTGACAAAATATAACAGATGTCCCATTAATCTGATGCAAAATCCCAGTGACCAAATCAATTTAAATAAAAATATTTATTTCAATACATGTCATATTAAAATAGCATTCACAAATACTTGGTCTGATGCATCTCTAGTTCTATTTGTTGTTCATTCTTATTAGCCAATAACGGCATATAATTTTACTTCAGAAACATGAGAATGCACAAAGGATTAAATTAATTAACCCTATAAGGAGAGGTCTGGCTTATTCTGCACAAGTCACGATGTTTTACAAAGCTTTATTCAACATTTAATCGTGTATTAGTCTCCTGGAAATATATTCTAGTCACTTTTCTGGGGTCCAACATAAAAAAATTAATTTCAAAATATTTAAATAATAATACAGTATTATTTTTGGAAACAAAACACACTAACACTCAAAATCTTTTCCATTATTAATCAATAAATGAACATTGAATATTACAACTTGTTTGTTTTTTACCACCTAAACTAAGTGTAACAACTTAACACAAACTAGCCGCATACTGAAGGTATCGAGAACAACAAATGTGTACGTGCTTCCATCTGTTGGCTACAATGTTTACAAAATATTTGGGGGTCTATGAAGACTAATGCAGGGTTAAGTAACCCTCTTTTTCAGACACGTGAAAGAGCACATATCACAAAATTTTACACAGTTATCTTCAAAATTAATTAAAACAACCTATCATTAACTTTCAAGGCAGTTTTAAAAAACACACATACATCTTTATAACCAACAGAAGGAGCTCATTTTCTATTTCAATCTTTCAACTATCCTTTTGAGTTCAACAATGATATTTGCCAAGAGAAAATGCTTGATTAATGATTTTTTTAAACTATTTATAGATTAGTTACATTACAGTTGGTTTTGGACATTCTATTTAGTTATTTAAACAGTTTTTATATTTTGAAATGCATATTTGACAAGAAAGAAAAAACAGCTATCCGTGTACAGATGCAGAACTTCACATGTGCTGTTTGTCACTCTACACAAACTAGCTAATTTGTTCCTACTGCTTCTTAGAAATTAATAAACTGCATGTCATAAGAAATGACTAAATCCAAACAAGATGGAGGAAGATGAATGCTCAATTATGTGGAAACAATAGACCCTCCAAGACAATGAATCACAGGGCATATTCCACTGATCTGACAGAGTCCACTGAAGGAAATGCAAAAGGGCACATCCAGAGGAAGTGGATTCCAAAAAGTTAGTCTCCAAAAAATTACACATAGCAAGAAAAGGAGACGTGACAGCCTTGGAAAAAATAAGCTCCATATTTCAGAAATGTAAAAAAGAAAAAAAGTTGAGCCCACCAGGCAAATGAGGTGAGAAAAACTCCCAAATGACTCAAATTCCAAATGCAAGTCAGCATATAGTGTTATGAAATTTAGTCTAAACATTTATGTTTTTGTGTTATAATTTGTGTTCATTCTAGAATAAAAGAGGCATAATTTATATTTACTTCTTAATTCTTTTATGGTGGTTGCAAGATCGATCAAATCTACTGAACCCGTACAGAGATTAATTACTGAATATAATAGATAAAATATAAAGTTTTTTCTTAAGAAATGTTTGATAACTATCTGGACATTATAAAGATTTCGCATGTTAAATTTGAAAATTTTCTGATGCATAAAAATATTTTTAATCTTAAAATGAAAATTACTTTGCATGATAGATAGAAGTTTTCTTTGTTTTCCTTTTTATTTGTTTTAACTTTGATTTCAAGCTACATCAGCACTAAATAATTTAAACAAAAAACAATTTTTGAGCTTAAAAATTGCTACGATAACCATAAATTCTTAAGTGATGGTTACTCCTACATCCACTAACACTACCGTATGATGTCTGTGGTCACTAAAGGCTTTATGGTTGTAGAAGACATCACTGCCATAGTTTATCATGTCATGGATGCTTTTATGCCTTCTTTCCTCATTACTTGTTCAGGACAGTGTTTCTCTTGTGTCTCTTAACTCTCTCGGCACGGGGTCGGTCCCTCGGACCAACCTCATAACCATGTTGTGCTTGTTATAGTTTTCATGCTATAACTCTTAAATTAGTAAGCGAATGTTAGCAAAATTTGGCAGATTATCAGTAAACATCAATGCTTTCATTTGCAAAATATCAAATTTTTTTATTAAGTCTTAAGGTTTATAAAGCAATGTTTTTCTCATGCCATTTTTTTTTAACACTGTGAAAAGGCAGGGCAAATCTCACAAAATTGATCAACTTTAAAGTTAAAGAAATACACTTGTTAAAGACAGTGCTGAGGATATGAATTAAGATAATTTCAAGAGCAAGTGTTTATGGGGATCTACTAGGCACGGAGGATGTGTTGCCCTCCTATTTGTGGAGTGTTACTATCACATGTTGGTTACATTATGAACTCGTGCAAATCATACTATAACGTGTCATAGGTGGGAAACGGCTCAAGGCTAGTGGGAAAAGTAAAATCTCGAAGGCAGACACGAGAGGAATAGCTACTGCATGCAGAGAGGGAGGCCTATTGCTTAGGAAAAAAGTATTTCTACTAAAGATTCTTCTACTGAGTCAGATTCTGAAAAGTCTGAATGCAAGATGATTCGTAGCAAAATCATTTGTGAAAATTGAAAAATATGAAATTAAACCAACATATAATTTTTAATTAGAATGACTACCGATTGTAACAGACAATTACAATTAGCATAACAAAGCAATAGATTATCCAGCGAAAGCTTAGTGCAAATTAGTTTAAACAAAGTACTGAATTACATCATGGAGAAGCAGCTCGCATGCATTGCTTGAGGAGATATTTTTTTCATTTAATTTTTTTCAATTAATCTTTTCTTTATCTAACCCAAAAAGTTTATAATTTTTATATTTTAGTTACATTTATAACAATACATAGAAATATTGGTTGGTTGTTTTGAATTTTGCGCAAAGCTACACGAGGGCTACCTGCAATACCCGTCCATAATTTAGCAGTGTAAGACTAGAGTGAAGACAGCAAGTCATCACCACCCACCGCCAACTCTTGGGCTACTCTTATACCAATGAATAGTAGGATTGACTGTCACAATATAATGCCCCACGGCTGAAAGGGTGAGCATGTTTGGTGGGACAGTGATTCAAACTCACGGCCCTCAGATTGCAAGTTGAGTGCCCTAACTGCCTGGCCATGCCAGGCCAAATAGAAATATTAATAATAAAAAAAAAGTAAAGAAATTTGAATTTTCCATATTTTTACTTGTATTAACAAAGTCCATGAGGTCCTTGTTTTCATAATGCTGGTATTGTCTCACATACGATTTTTCTTTCAAAAATCATATATATATATATATATATATATGCAATTTAAAATATAAAAATATCGTCTAGCACAAAAAACGGAATGTCACAAAATTACTAACAATCTAACTGGCTTTTAAATTAACACATAAATGGTTAAAAAATTACATTACCTGACTGAGCTGAACTAAAACAAAGGCAAAGAAAGAAATTGAAACTAGTTTTCAAAACCTGTGAGTTCAATAACCTAGCCTTGTAGAAAAAATAAAAAGTAGAGTCCTTGCTTTCAACTGAGTATAAGAAAATCTAATAACCAAATTATCGATGTTTTTCAAAAAACAAGATATGATAGCAGGGATACGGTATGTAGGGGTTCACTTATTTGTTTGTATTTCAGTAAATAACAAAGAGCCAAAAAATACATAATTTTGCTTGGAAATATCTATAGTACGAGCGTAATTTGCGGGGTACTAAGAAGATCATAAAGATGAATAAAGAAAAGCTAAAATGGACGATTCAACGCAAAGAATTGTCACGTAATGGATAAAAGTGAATACGAAGAATTTATCTGACACTAAGTCTTGAATTATAAACCATGTTTTGACGCCTAATGTACTGACATACATTGATAATAAGGTTGTTTAATAAAATCTTGAATGTAACTTTGTAAAAAGTAGTGACATTCGAACTTTGACCCTACTCGTGCACATAGGGTTAAAAAAAAGGGAGGACCAAGCATCAAAAACTATAGCCAATCAATAAAAACGAAAACTAGTTTACCCAACCACGATCGTACAAGTGGGAATAGGGGAAATGCTGAATAAACTTGTACCTTTCTAGCAGCATTCGTAGTTCCTCCCGTGTAGAAGTCAGTTTTCCTCGCAAGAAAATCAAAAATGGTATCCAGCAACTGAAAAAAATAAATAAGTAAAAAACACAGTCAAGTAAATTTATTTGTAGAACAAGAGATATGGAAGTAAACAGACATATTTCACTATTTGATAATATTACGGTTTTTCATTTACTACATTTCACTCTTGTAAAAAAAAACAACAAAAAACACACAAGCTTTACTTAATACAAAACCATATCCACAGTATACAATTTTATTGCATAGTATTTTCATTAGACTTATTTTTTTTTGGGGGGGAGGGATTCTGTGTATTACAAAACACAATGCTGAAAAGATTACTCTAATTTTGAGTTAACCTGTGATGCAGCAACTTGTGATAAGGCAAAACGATGTTAAAGATTAATCAGTAACCATATGTTGTTAAGAACACTTCAGTTGGTACTAGACCTTTACACTCCTTAACTTTTGTTTCTACTGTAAATGCTATTAGTTACATCTCGGTCTTCATAAAGTATCAACATATCATTTTAAAGTACATTTGTCGGGTTTTCAAATATCTAATATTAAGAGTTTTCACATAAACCATTTAATTTTCTTATGAAAATAACAAATGGACAATAAGTGAATATTTGGTCCTTCAAGGCTGTCCACCCTTGAGAAAACTGAAAATTTAAACCCACCCTTTATTTTTCATGAAATTACTGACTTCTTTCTAATGCTTTTGTAAGATGTTGTGCTCCACCAATGCCAGCCAATAAGAACTTATTTCAACACTCTGCTAGAAAAATTAAATTGTCTTATATGTGAATGTTGCATACATGGGATCAGTTCATTGACCCAACCCTGTATTGGAAAAGTAGTGTTGACAATAATTCCAAGTTTACAAAGTGTATCTTTATGAAATGTGGCAAGCTTATTATTCATCTCGACACATGTCAACGGTATATTACAGCTTCCTTGGAAGACGTCCACAACCCTTCCGCAAAAAGACATAACTAATACATAATTAACTATAATGTAATAGTAAGACCTAAATAGAATGTAGACTGTATCTCTCGCTATAACATATTTAGGTAAAAAACAACCATAAATGCTATAGTCGATCAAGCAGCCAACAACACTACAATCAGTTCCACACACTCCATGATGACAACTGGACAGTTAAAAGATTATATAAACATCTTATTGTCTGGATGCACCTCTATTCAACTACCATTGTATTACTGACGAAACAGAGAGCCAAGGTAGAGAATTTTAATAGCTCATTGATAATGTGACAATACATCTGGACAGTTTTAAGCAGTTTATTTAGAAATAAATAATTTAAAACTTAGATAAAATAAAACTTCAAATCATAACATATACTACAATATTAATTTCATTCACATACATATATATTAAAGGTATTTAATTAAATTTTGAATGTAACACAGAAAAGCATTTAAAGGGGGCACCTCTTGCGAAAGAGTTAAAGCAAGTGACAGAGTTGATGCATCTTCTTTTTTCATACTTAAGAATGATAGGATGAGAAGACACAAATATAAATTTTCGCAGGATAGGAGTCATCTTCAGCTAAGACAGCTTTAATTTTCTAAAAGTGTGGTTGGCCTTTGGAAGGAGTTACCTTCAGATACGGTAGGTTCAAGGTGTTTGATGGAAGATTTGATAAATACAGGCTTGAGTGTTTTATTTTTATTTTAAAATTTAGTATAATATATTGGAAGGCCTATATGGACCAATAGAAACAATATAATAAAATTGAAATTCAAAATTATGCTTCCATTATCATTCTTTGTTGTCATATTCCATCCATGGGAGCTTAGTTGAGGTGAAGAAAATACTCTTACATATCTGCTTGTTTGTTTTTTTTCAGTAGAAATTATTTCCGAGGATCTTCAGCGATACAAGTCCTTTCTTGATTAAACTAGTTTATTCTTCCTCGATACAAACTTTTAGTACACAGTAGTTCCACAATCAGTACGTTTCTCGTCACTTTAAACTTAACAACTTTTATGATACATATTATAAATCACAGCGATTCACAAACTCATTAACTTCGCTCTCGATGAGTGCAAAACACACACAATTTATTCCTCCACTGGCTTTCTCTGCCAGGCTTATATTCTAATGGAGAGCATCTCGAACACACTCGGACTTCCCCGATCATTCGAGAAACTCATCACGCAAATCACATGACTTCCACTGTTGTAACAATACCAGTCAGAGGAATATAAAACAGATTTAGATGGTAGGCAATGCTAGATATAACAAGGTAGCCATCAGACTTGTCACTGTGTCTGCTAAAACTTCCTGACTATCATAATGATAGTGAAATAGAAATTATCATAAGACAAATATACATAAAAGTTTCAATCATCACAAAAAAATATCAAAATGATGATAAACTTTTTTTTCATCGTATCTCAAAAATAGTCACTTAATATGTGGTCATACTGACTGACAGTCCTGTGGCAGACAAATTCGACTTCAGTTGGTATATCCTTCTGGTTAACTTCAGTTAGGCCGCTGCTGGGTGCACTGCTGGTTGAGAAACTTCGGACCACTGGGTCTGTGCTGTTGAGCTTAGGTCTATTTACATATGGTTGGAAATTATATTTTCTTGATGTTCTAAAAAAAGAAATGTTTACTGCATCTTTAGAGTCATAATCAGTGGGTCCTATATTTGTAATTTGCACAAGGTGCTCAAGAGTGTTAGCAGCAAGTCTGGTTCTTCAATCAGTTTTGATGTTGCCCATTTTGCTGAAACATTTTTTAAATTGGATTACTCTCAAAATTGTCACTAACTTTGTTATGTTAGGGAATTCATCCTAGTCAAAGTTACAAATTATCTTCCAAACCTTTGATGGAGAAGTCTGAAAATTACCGAGAACAAAAATCTACATTTTGATCCATTCAGAGTCTATATGGAAGCAGCATTATGAAGAATGTTTGCCATATTAGAGTCAGGAGGGAAACCCCAATCTTGTGTTTTTTATAAAAACTACAGTATTATTAAAATCCTTCAGTGCTGAGAGGGCATGTGAGATTTCAATGGCATCTTTTTGCCATGCTATGGAAATCTTTAATAATGGGCTCAGAAGTGTTTTCGGGAATAATTAATACACTATAAATGATAATTTTGTAATATTTGTCAAGATTCATTTATCTTTTGTGTTGATTTCATTCGTAGCCCAATATTCCATGTGACAACAGACAGCATTTGAGCAGCTGCTAGGATGCCAACATTCTATCAGGTTCCACTTCCTTTTCTACAATTTGTGGCCTGTTTCTACATAACAGTACCAAGCTCACATGATTTTTTTGACTATTTTATTACTTTTATTACACCACTCTTTTATCGATTAGCAGTAAGTACAACACAAGGTTAAAATCGATCTGTACAAGGCCCGTTTTGCTTCGCATTTTGTGATACCAGTTATTTTAACCCTTGAATACATACATTAAAAGAAATCATATTTTCATAATTTAAATAAAACTAAAAATGCAAGTTTACGTACATGTATTTGATACTATGTGTGACATTCATAAAACTACATACAGTAAGCACGTATTCCAAAAGCATTCTAATGCAACCAATTAAAAGAAATGCAGCTTACTTAAACAATTTTAAACATGGTAACTGTCACAGTCTTTTTAACCTAAAATTTTTGATTAACTAAACATACCCGATTAAACATATTAATATATAAACAGCAAAACTGAACAGAGTATCACTAACACTTCAGTTAGAGAAAAAACCTATTGACCTTCATATATAGCAATGAATTACAAGAAAAAGTGGGATTTCTTCGCAACAACATTGATGATTAATCAACCATATGCCTTGGATAAAGGCATCCCAAATGAATAAAGAATAACAATAAAAATAATTATAAACAGCAAAACAGAATTTAGTAACAGTAACATTTTGATAAGAAAAATAAATACTAAACTTCAACTATAACAAAGTTAGAGAGACAGTGCACCTAGGAAAAGAATCTATTGTTCAAAATAACACTTATATATTATACATTAATAATCAGTACATTCAAATGATGCATTGTAGATGCTAAACCTAATACCCCCTCCCCCTTATGCTTCACTAAAACATGTACTCCAATAAACAGATTAAGCTTTCAGAGTGTGGGTTTTCAATACAACTACTTCCTATTAAATAATGGGCATTACATAAATTAAACACTCAAGTCTTCCTCGTTAGTGATATTTAATGCATGATTACTGTTCGAACACTGTGAAATGGTTTCTGTTAGCATGATTAAAAAAAGGTTTCTCACTGCTTTAATGCTGTCAACAAACCTTCAAATGTGTAAACTATCTCAAATTTGTGGCTAGCGAATTAAGCTTTGAACTCAACCCTTATGACCGATATGGAATTCCAAAGTCATTCCTGCATTTAGACCGACAAAGAACACCTGAAAGGGCCAACCTTCCACTTCATTCCTTAACCCTCTGATTATGATCTTTATACTTGTTCAACAGCTCTTCTGATTAACAGTTTCTAACATCATTTTCACTACAAAATGACAGTCTTTCTTTGTACCAGCAACTTCATTACGGACTCTCCGAGATGGAGGGAGATTCCCGAGTCTCCTACTAAATACCAAGTGTTAATTCTTTTGTTTCAAATAATTTGTATGCTACTGTAAGGAGCAAAATAAAAAAACCTAAAACTATTTTTTTTTCAATATTTTAAATAAGATGAAGAGTGTATATGTACCTGGTGCTACAAAATGAAAACAGGCAATGAAATGAAAGGAAGCTGTCAAAACTAATACTCAACCTATAAAATTTATATTCAATCGAATGTCTGTCACAATAACTACATCGCCATCTCAAATTCAAATTGAGAGATGGAATTTGAACGAGTGTGAAAAATGGAAAAGAATTTCAAATAAATTTTAGATGTAGCACACTTTTTTTTCTCATGGAGAGAGTCTTGGCTTTTCAAGACAATAGCTTAAGAACTAGAGATATCCATATTGTTATTTTTCTTGGAATTATAAAATTGTTGGCACAATATGATCCCATTCTGACAGAATATCTAAATGAAATTTTGGAACAGACTACATTTATTCTACACAAAGATTTAGGATATTCAGTCGAAGAGTGCTTCGTTCAATTTAGAGTTTGTGATAATAAAAAAACTGGGCTCAAAATAGCAGAACTCATTTCAAGAGTTCTCCTGAAAGTAAACACCTGATTTTTTATTATGTAGGGGACAAAGTTACAACAACAGTGCCAATATGGTAGGGATAGCTTTCATAGTGTTCAGTGTTCTCTAAATCCATTAGCTACATTTTAAAGTTGTGACAATAACAGCCTTAATTTTGTGGTGTTAATGCTGCTGAAGTATATCCCCAACGAAGTACCTTACTTGGAACACTGCAAACTGTACTCTACTTTTTAAACAAAATCCAAAATAACTTAACATTTTGCAAAAACAATGGACCAGTGACACACGTAGTCAACACAGGCAGATTCTGTTTGTCCACGGACTAACATTTACTAGCCCTTGGTGGATGTTCTGCATCATTAAACCACAGTCATACAAATGCATCTTGATTAATTCAGTTTGGTATAGCGTTGGTTCCAATTTATCTAGATATCTTGTTGTTTAGAAATGACAAGATATGCTAGATACTCAACAAAAAGATTTTGAAGTTTACTGGATGATGATTTACTTTCCCTATGCGATAGCTAGCATAGTATAGTAAATGAAACCAAAACCGTTCCTGAAGCAATGGTTGTAAATAGTTTTCTTCTTGTAAATCAGCAAGATTCAATAGAAAATTCACTAGAGAAGTTTTGCTTTAAAGTCTATATTTGCATAATTGATTCAGTTATAGCTAGTCTCGCAGTACGATTTGAAGCACTGAAATATATCTGTACTCTCTTTCCTATGGAATTTTATGGATATGACAAATATTTATATATATTTCTGTGAAATCCTAATGACATAAACTTATTAATGGAACTTTTATTTATAAAACAAATTTATAAAGCAAACTCTGATGATGAAGATGAAGCCACGAACACTAATTTGTAGTAGCAATTTGAATATTTTACACAAATTTTTGCATCTGTATTCACTACTGAGAAAAAACTTTTCAGTATTATGATGCAGTAAGAAATGTGGGCCAGAAAAAAAATACCTTATCTAACTTAGTTACTACCACTATAATTGAACATGAATTAACAAGAACCATTTCGTATACTGAAATGAATGATATGCTTTAAGTTTTTCAGTGATATTCTCATTTTCTTTGTACTCAAACGAATTTTGAAATATGTATGAAGTTATAAACAATATTATACGAGGTAATTTTAGTACCAAAAACTATCACTAAAGAATATACTAATCCACTATTACTTTAAAGTTTAAAACTAAAATCGTGTTGTACAGTGTACTTTGTCTTTAGCACCTTACAAGATAGTTCTAACAGCTAGTGTCAGTGTTACAAGTATTAGTTTTCTAAATTCTATGATTTTCACTATCAATTATAATTACGTACAAATAACTTTTAAATTTAACGTGCATAGGATTAGAAGTCTTCCACTATGTAAGTTATAATACTAATAGCAACTATAAAAAGTGTAAGTTTTTTATCATCTCGTTCCTCATTGCAAGCAAGAAAAGGTTCAAATCTGTAGGTCAAATATCTTTTAGTCATTAGACTTTAGGTTTGTATGTGTTCAATAGGTTAATAATTATATAATGATATATACTGACTTCTGACAGTTTTGTTACGCTCATTAACCGCACACTACATGAGAGTGGCATTAGGCCTAACTTGTGTCGGCAAGCTATACTCTCACTCGGTATCTGTACAATTAACTTAAGATACAGTGTTAATTCATTACCATGGCTTAGAGAACTCAAGATAACTAAATAAAAAATAAACGATTTAACTAAAATCGTTATACAAGGTTTAAATTATACACATTATTACCTGTTGAACTCCACCTTCATGTTGTTGAGCTAAGGCTAACAAAACGCCATCAAACTTCCCCTCTTCTTCCGCCATTTTCCAAAATATATATAATATAACTCGTGAACCTAATACAACGTATAGTCCTAGAGAGAGAATAAAGAATTCTCTAGAAATATATATATATGGGTTGCCATGAGAAACTCTAAATAACAAAGAATATAAGTTACATAAACAATGAAAAGCCCTGTTAAATATATAAAATACGTTAATGACATTTTATCATTAAATATGTTAACAAAGTTTTCCATCTATAAAAAATACAATAATTTTAGCAATAAATAAATCAATAATTATTTACTAAATGAGATTGAACATTAATAACAGCGTTTACATCTTAAAAATGTTTTTACTAAGTAACGTCCTTGGCAATGAACTTGTGCTTTTATTCGCAAGAGCTATCTGTGTTTAGGAATTTTAAGTTTTGTTTTTTTCTTTGTTAAAGCCCCCCCCCCCCCCAGTGGCACAGCGATATGTCTGCGAACTTATAACGCTAGAAACTGGATTTCGATACCCGTGGTGTGCAGAGCACAGATAGTCCATTGTGTAGCTTTGTGCTAATTCCAAACAAACAAACAAACATATTCTATATCTTAAGAGTTAATGCGATTAGTTATATCTATATGAAACTTTAAGAAACCTGCTGCGGTAAATAAAAAAAAATATCTAATGGAAGCATGATGGCTCATGTTGTGTAAAATGTGTAGTCATTTTCCCAAAACAAAAAATCTCGAAATCTAACATTAAAAGTTATAAGCCCTTAGACTTAGTATTGAGCCCAAGGTGGCTAAGCAAAATAACGGGGAGAGGAGGGGGGGGCAGCTGTAAGTTTAGAAAATAAAATCGTAATTTCAATAAAACTCTTTACTCAATAACAAATGCTGTCACTCGAAGATAATTTGTTCAAACATCAACACACTTTATACAGCATCGATACATGTTTCTAAATATTCAGAATTCACAATATTACAAAAATGCAACATCCAAAACTATACACACAATGAAGATTAGAGAAAATTCTGACTCGACACTCTACCTGATTTGAATAAACTGCTTATTATGCCATCGTGTCAGTCGAATCATATTATGTAATATCACATACAAGTAACAAGGCTATCAAATCAGTATCATAGTTGAAATGACTGGTAATTTCACCCTTTGATAATTATCTTAGACTGTATCTTTATTTAATGTATCCAAATAGCTGTTCTAAAAAATCTTGTAATTTTAAAATGTAGTCAATTAACCACATCAATACTGATCAGATGTCGCAAGTAGATAAACATGTGTTATCCCTTTTTACAGAGTTTTATGGTTCCCAAATGAAAATTTGAATATATTTTCACTAATTCGGGAAGTGTTAATCTTAAGTTTTGTTGAATTCATACAAAATTAACTATTTTATAATGTTCTACTTTATCAATCAATCTGAACAATAGAAACTAACACTAGGTGCTATTTCGGATTATGATACACAAAATTAAAAGGAGGAAGAAGCAAGAGTTTGTTAATGTTAAGAACTGGCGTGCGCTAGTTTTCTCTACTCTAGAATGATATATGTTTATTCAGTTTGTCGATCTTAATATTAGAAATTAAAGAATTTGTCATAGATGTAATTTGTAAAAGAGGATATTCTTGAAAATTACTAACTCAAAACCGCGACATGTGGATAGGTACGAAAAATATTTTCGCTAGCTGGTGTAAACTTAAATAAGATTATTTGATTATATTGTTGCGTATCAGCTTGTTTGTTAATTTCCCTTAGAAATTCTTTCCGAGAAACTTCAGCGATAC